GGGGGGTGGAGGTGGGCCAGCAGGGCTGAGGCTCTCCAACTCTCCTTTCCTGAAGGTTTTTCAGAGGCGCTGGGATGGGTCAGTGAACTTCTTGCGAGATTGGTATTCCTACAAACGAGGCTTTGGCAACCAGCTGACAGAGTTCTGGCTGGGCAATGACAACATCCACTTCCTCACCTCACTGGGTAAGGTCTGCCCCTGTCCTGGGCTGGGGCTGTGAGAGTCCAACCCCTGCACCACACTGGATCATTAAAGGACTCTGAACATCTCACACCCATCTGAGGCCCCAACAATTAATCCTAAACTGCACACAGGCTCTTGCAGACCATTGCACACAGGGAATTGCACTCTTAAAAAAAAAAAAAAAAGGAAAACTAGAAGCCAGGGAAGAGAATGAGCTGGCTGCATGACCTATCCTGGAGATAGGCCAACACATCTTCCTACTAGAACTGCTTGTAGTGGCAGTCATTTTGTTCACACACAGCTTCAGACTCACAGTTGTGCGCAGGACTCCTGGGCATGTAGCTCACTGTCCATGACCATCCAACATCAGATCAGAAAAGGTGCTTCACAAGAAAGGCATCAAAGGTACAGGAGGTTCTGCAGGAATTTTAAATGAATCATAATGTCTCAAGTAGTAGAAGCTCCTCTCAAGTTAGCTCAGGGCTCCTTACACCCTCCACCCAGGTGCATACTTACCATCAGCCCTGCACCACCGCTGTCCACCTTCTCTTCTAGGACCCTGTGAACTCCGTATCGATCTGAGAGACTTTGAAAACAACTACTATTTTGCCAAGTATGCTTCATTCAGAGTTTTAGGAGAGTCTGAGAAATACAAACTGGTTCTAGGCGACTTCCTTGGTGGAAACGCTGGTAAGTTAGCAGCAGCTCACTGGGAAAGACTGTTTTCTAGAGCATTTCAGAAGTGTTCAGCATTTATAGTGCAGAGCTGTACCATGCAAACTTCTTGTACTATCTACATTTTGGGTCTTTTTTTTTTTTTTTTTTAAACTGGCCATGGTACCCCAGGAGCTGAGTGACCTCTGGGTACAGGGAAGGAGAAGGACACCTATCACCCACAGAAGTGTGACCCAGAGCATTACCTACAAGCCAGCCACATGGTTTAGCAGCAAACATAGAGCCTGGTCCTGAGCAGCACCTCATCCAATATAACCTTCCCAACAGCTCTGCAGCAGCCGGGCCAAGTTCTGCTTTCGGTTACACTGGAAGGAAATATTTGCCCACAAGTTTGGCATTTCCAGGGCTGCGGTGCTGTTCAATACTTACAGCTTCAGTACTGCATCCTCTTAATGCCTGATGTTTTGGTTTTTGGTTTTTTTTTTTTTTTAAATGCAAACAAATCCTCTGCAAAATTCAATACCCCTCATGCAGGAATGAGTGAAACCCACACCTGAGATAGCAGTGCTCTGGGTTTATGTGGCTTTGTACACTGCAACTGTGTCTGATTGATAGTCCAGACCTCAGTATGTCTGCAGAGAATCTGAGCAGTGCAAGAGACATGACACCCATGTAACTACAAGGACAATCTGGCCCCTTTGATTCTCAGGCATAGATAAGATCTGTGTGTTTTAGCAGTGCTGGCAGAGCTCAGGATACTCCTTTTCTCCAGGACCAAGGAGGAAACCTGGGCAACCAAGCGAACAGCAGGATTTATAAAATCTGCCTTGCATCCAGCAAGGCCTACTGACGCCCTGCAGCAGTGCACAGACACATTAGGGTCCCTTTTGTGCTCTCTATTGCAGTAACTGTGAATATGTGCTCTCTGCAGGAGATTCCTTATCATACCACAAGGACATGCCATTTTCAACGACAGACCAGGACAACGACATGAGCTCCTTTAACTGTGCCACAGAATACAAGGGAGCGTGGTGGTACAATGACTGCCATTACTCCAATCTTAATGGGATGTACTGGCTGGGCATTCACGGGAGCTATGCCGATGGCATAAACTGGAAGACAGGCAAAGAGTACCATTACTCCCATAAGCGAACAGAAATGAAATTCAGGCCAGTTTAACATAGCAAGAGGGTGTCTGACTAGCACCAACAGGTGGCACTCAACAGCCAATAGAAGACACAAAACATAATGTTGTTTGAGGACAAAATTGGACCAGGAGGGATATTACAGGTTGGGCTTTCAGCCAGAGCAGTCTTCTAGAGACCAGAAGACATCGGTGCTGGTTTGAGCTCCTGTAAGTACCAGACTCTCACCCTGGACTATCTCCAGCAGTCCCACAGATGATGACTGAGCCTGAGCATCTTTTTCTGAAAAGTGCATTACCTTGCTTTAAAGACCAAGTGATGGTGACGATATTGCACCTCAATAAAGCTCTCAGATATTATTACCCTAAATGGTAATTACTGGTAATTTTCATTCTAATCCATGTAGATGAAGCCTCCAGCGTTCTTGCAGCCTCTTTTTCTCTTGGACCCAGGAGCCATCTGAAAGGCACTGAATTCTGAACCTCCCCCCGGCTCCCTGCAGGCTGTGATGGAGCCATGATGTAGACCAGCATGGACAGGACTGACCTTCCAGCACAGGGCTGTCAGCACTGCCACTTCCCTCCCCACTGACTCACACAACACATGCTCCAGAACCTCAGGTGGGACCTCAGCTCCTGGAACCATTGCCCAGCACTTCCCACCACTACACAGCTGCATCTGGATCTAGAGCTAGCTAGCTTCAGCCACTCCTCCAAGGCACTCCTGGTGGATGGGGGCAGTTCATCCAGCTCATGTGATGTTTTCTTTTACTATTAGCAGAACTAGTTAAAGGATCTCTTCTTCCTGGACTCCTGCACCTGGATTCCTCCCCACAGCTGATGCAGGGGATGAGAACCTACTGCTAACTCCTTGCTGCAGGGACAGACCAGAGTCTGTGGTAGTACTTATTTGTGTTAATGTTCCTAACGGTCCCAGGTTTATCACACTACCTATTGCACAGATGCATAGCAAGGACAGCTCCAGCCCTACAACACTGAATCCAAACCTTGTGGGTGAGAAAAAGGGAAGAGGCAGAGGCCACTCACCCAGCACTCCACAGCAGGTCAACAATGTGCTAAGAAATAAGCCTGAGGTTTTGCGTCTCCCCATTCACTAGGACCTGTCCCTGCTCTCTTCTTTTCAGGTCTGTAAGAAAGTGTGTGTCTGAGCAGAGAAGCACACACTGAAAGTCCCATAGTCACTTCCCATCTCCAGGAGCTCTGCTTTGTTTTTCTCCTACTCCCAGTCAGATTGACGTGCCCTCAGCAGGAGCAAGGTTCCACAGAGTCCAGCTGTGTCTCGCACTATCAGCCACTGATGCTATTGTCCATGAGTAGCTCCTCAGAGAGGTTGCCACAGACAGCTCTGCAGAACCAGACTCCTCTGCAGAGACATACGAGCCGGTGCTGACATCCTCAGCTTTAACCTAGCTAGAAGTGCTGAATCCCCTTTCTCTGTTCCCCTCTATCTTCTCCTCTTACTACACAGAAACCTTCAACATTTAAATTTCATCTGTGAAGGACACCAAAATTAGAGGGATTAAGAGCACACCAAGCACAGTTTACCCAAGCCCATCTCGTCAATATTCCCAGACTGCCACCTGACTCCAGTGAGGAAATATTCAGGTATGACAAACCATCACCAGAATTAGGTGAGGTGGTTTGGACCTGGCTGCAGAGTGAAATTCTCCTGCATCCCCTAAGATGTTGCAGTAAGCCATGGGCTGGCACTGCATCTCCTCCAGCATGACCCCCCAACCATTGCAAGGCAGGAAAATGCTTGCTGTGCTGATATAGGCATATGGGGGAGAGGGTCCTTGGGCTTGGTGGTTCATCCCAGGCACCATGCCTGCAGCAGTCACAGAAAGAGCTTGCACTGACTCCAACCAGGAAGAATTGAACCACTAAGGTCAGGAGCCAGTACCCTATATACATATACATACTACCAGCCCAGAGCTCCCACCTCTCCTCAACAGAAGGGTTCCCACTCCTACATCAGCTCTCACACCTGACCAGTGGGGGAAGAGGCATGGCACAGACTTGAGATGTCCCAAAGGACTATACTCCCCAAACTGTCAGGCTACTATTCAGTTCCTCTTGCTTTCCATCCTCTTGCCAAGGGTCCCCAAAAGAAAAGCAGAAAAGCCCCAGTCAATCTGTGACTGATCCTGGCCACTGCTCATCTCAGGGCTTTTTCTCTGTCCTGGAAAGCTCATGGATCAGGTTTGCATTTTATGTTTGAAAATCCTCTTCTGCACATTAGCGGATCTGGAAAGGGCCTCCCCTGAAGCCTAGAAATGAAAACATCCCTAGAGCTTCTCCAGACATTTCCCTTGCTGCAAATAATGAGCAAGGCTGGGGAGGCACCAGAGGAGCAGTGGGGTGTGGGGAGAGGAGCCGGTTTCTGCCGTATCAGGGAGCCAGACACATGATTAAAAGCTGGAAGCATCTATGATGGCTTGTTGATGCATAGCCATCTGAAGCCAAAAGTGGGGCCAAACTAGTCCTCTCAGGTCTCACTCAGGCGAGCCTCCTGGCCAGATCTGGGCTACCTCCAGCAATACCCTCCTGCATTGTCTGGGACATGGGAAGACCCAGCAGTCCAAACCATCCATGGGCTTACTGCCAGCCTCCAAAGGCTTTCCATGGAGAAACACAGCACTTTGGCCACACGCAAGTGCCCAGAGATTTCACAGTTGTAAATCTGAAAGCTGATTGACTTCAACAAACTGGACTTCAGAAGGAAAGGTCTTCTTCCTACCTAACACTATCACGTGAGGAATTCAAAGAACCGAGCTTCAGCACTGCTCTATGATTTGTGTTTGAACAGGGGCTTTGGCATAGTGAACACCTGATTTTCTGAGGCATCCTTGTGAGAGAGTTGCATCTGAAGAGTAACTAATGCCATGTATGAATCAGCATGAAACTAGCTTCAGCTGGGGAGGGGAAATCATTTCACTGTGGTTTGGCCCTTTTGGCTTATGGGCTGCTGGGTGGGGGGGGAGATGAATCCAACAGCCTTTGCACTATGTTTGTGCTGCTGCTGTTACCTTGTGCCCACCCAACCAAAAGGAAGGGGTGACTTAAGACACCAGCTGACCCTGCCACAAACCAAGGCCACAGGGGGGCAATGGACTCAGAATACCACTTTCTCATAGGTAATACTCTTCTGTAAACTACTTTTAACTAAAGGTTTATTATGCCAGCTATGCTGATAGAGCATGAAGCTGTTTGTTTGGTTGTGCTCAGTGCCTATGCTTGGAAACATGGCCTTTTGGCAGCACCACTCAGCAGACTCAGGATGATGAAATGCAGCAGCCAGAGCTGATATGGAAAAGAACCACTAGACTTTATTCCCAAATGGCATTTATAAAAACAAACAAAGACACAATGGAGGATGTGGGAATGCAAGGTCCGTGAGGTGCAGCACTGCCAGGTCCACGCCGTCAGCACGGGTGGAGCAAGTGGCCCAACAGAGGGAGGAGAGGCAGAGAAGGCAGCTGCTGGTCAGGTCCAGCAAGGATGACCCTGCTGCACCGCCCAGACCCTCCACCCACCATCGCAGTTGCTTCGGTTCAGTGCCAGGACACGAAATTCAACCACTGACCTGGACTTTGTGTCAGACTGGCGTAAAAAAGCCAGGCCCTGCACTCCCAGCACAGGGCCTCATACCCAGAGGGCATCTCAGCAGTCATGCTCACCTCTCCCTCCAGCTCTGACCAGTGAAGAGATACTCTTGGTCCATGAGGTGCACCAGACAAATTCCCAGACTACCTCTGTTCTCTGCAGACTCCCAACATTGGTTTTTCTAGTTCACATGGTACCTGCAGACAGTCTTGGTCCCACCTGCCCCTGCAGCAGGCACCAAAGGCCCTTCTAGCAAAAACCCGATATCCTTTGGTCGCCTGAGAGCCAGCAAATGGACTCACCATGACAATGGATGGGGCACATGGCAAGTCCAGAAGAAACACAGTTCTGATCCATCGCAGCTCAGACCATGCTGGCTATCCTCTGAGCAGAGAATATCCCGCCACCCCAGATCCGTTCAATCCTTGAGCAGGTTTCTTACCCCCAAGCAGATAAATAAAAACAAAAGATCTTCCTTCATACCACAGCATCACCAAGGTTTACACAACTCCACATGCCTTCTCTACTGTGTCCCAGCCCCACGGTTGTTGCTCAGCAGGACCAGAGTCAGATGTACAGCTGGATGAAGGATCAGCCCAGTTTGCAGTAGGGCACTGCCAGCACCAAGCCTTGCTGATCCTGGGAAGGGGATGCCAGCAGTGGAACAGCCCTGTAAGGAAGTGCCCCTGGAACAAGACACCTTCACCCCATAAGAGGCTATTTGAGGGATTGGTATGTTGAGGGATCTTCCTTTAGTCTACTCCTGTGCGGGAGGGGCAGAGGAAGAACAGACTGCAGCTTGCCAGACCAGGCAGTATGGGGAAGGCTGGAGAAAGACTTTGTGAAAGCAAAGCATCAAGCCAGGGACTGAGCCAAGGCAGACAGCTATCCTTCATCCATAGTGCCCTTTGGTAAAGGCTTTGTACCCCTAATGCTTTGAGTGTCAGGACATACTGTTGGACTCCTCATTCTCAAGCCTATTCCTCTACAGAAGAAGAGCCCAGGGGAGCCTGGGAAGCCTTGGGAGGTTGCAGTTAGCTCCTTGGGTCCTTTTCCTGGTAGCCAAATATACACCCTGTGATTTTCATCCAACACATTCCTGTGATGCTGGTGGTAACTGGCTCTCACTGAAGACAAACACATATATCAGTGCTGTTTGCACTGCTGTTGCAGTCCATTTCAAACCAGTGCAAGTCAAAAAGTGGCCACTCTGCCTCATCCAGATTGAAAAGCTTCCCTTATTTTCAGTCTTCTACTTCTCAAGGCTTTACTTCCCCCCGCTGGCAGTATCCAGCTGGGATGAAGGTATTTGCTGGGCTGTTTACTGTTGAGCAGGAGGTTTCTTGTGCAAATAAGTCAGTATCCCACAAAACCACAACAGCACCTTTGGGGAAGGAGGAGCTGCAGATGCTCCCTGGAGATGTGGCTGAGCTGGTGACTCTGGTGTCATTCAGTGCATTTCATGCCAACTCCTGATTCCTTATGATCCC